ATCAACTAAGAGTACACAAACATTTAGGTGTTTAACCGAGGAGCGCTGCAACGGCTTGCACATTTAGCTAGAAACAAATGTTAAAGGTTTACAGTCACATGCATGCACCGAAAGTAGGCATGCTGTTGACCAAACCGCTAAATCGATGGAATGCAGCCTATCCATTCACAGGGATTCAGTCATGTGACTAGCTTCTGCATTCTTTGGAATGTTAAGTTGAGGTACAAAATGGCTGCCTGGCCTAAGTGCATATATTCAAACACGGGGATTAAATATGCCTGCCTGCTTTGCTTCATTAGAACTTTGGCAATTTTTTTTTTCTTTTATTAACATGGTGCAAAGTTTAGTGATCTGCAGTAACCCGGAGCGACCAATCACAGACGGGTTTTCAGCAGTACAGTATATTAAAAATATAAAGATTGCTATGTAATACACACACCCTTGCTTAATGTGTCATGGTATTAAATAAAGCCCTTCAAGTACTATGTTGAAAACAAATTATGGTTATTCTGGTCATACTTTGAAGAGAACCAGTCACAACTGTGACTATTTAAGAATCTGAATATTCAATCTTAATGATAATTGTGCAGAATGACTTTGGAACATGTTTTATTCACCTCCTTATTAACCTTTGAGTGTGGCTCCTTAGGTTGGTTCAGGGGTCATCTAAAGCATGGCGGTTGTTACTTCGTCAACTGGCTAGCACTCCATCCTGTTTCCTAGCGTCTGAGTGTGCAGTGTGTGAAGTCAGACTTCAGGTGATCTCCAACCCAACTCCAACTCCAAGTATGAGACTCAGGTTGAGACAAAGTAAAGCCAAAAACAGGACAACATTTTAAATATTGTGCAGTAAGCCTGCCCAACTATATATTTCCACAGGCAAGACTCAATATTCAGGATTATTCTACTGGTTCTCTTAAAAGGAAGAAAACCTGTGAGTGATGGGTAGCCAGATCCTTATATATCGGACCACAGCAAGTATTATAATTACTGCATTCAAATGTAAGGAAAGGCAGAAAAATAAGAAAATGTAACCAATAAGACAGTTTAAAAGTTTTACAAAACAAACAAAAAGATCTATGCGGTAAGTTCCCTTTTTTATCTTGAAAGCCTTTCAGAGCTCAGATTGTTGCGTACATCACCCATTGTGACCAGAAGGGTTGATGTGTGGTCTACAAGCACTGTCTGATAGAGAGACATGAAAGGATACAAATGGACCCTGTAAGCCGCAGGTTTGTAAAGGAATATGTTGAATATTTTCCAAGGAAAAAGTCAACATTGTAGATTATTGCACTATGAGAGGCACATAGCTTGGTAGGATTCACTGTTAAAGGAGCACTCCAAACAGGAAGGCTATGAACTGAAAACCTATTTGGCTCATGTTGGAAATCTTAAGGGCCTGTGTCGATGGGTCTATGTCCACGTCAGAACTGCTTCTCTCCCTATCCAAGTCAATTGGAATACAAAATCAGCTTGAAGCAGGTTGATGTAGCTTAGAAGGAGATCAACTGTGGGTCAAATGTAGCTATCAATGAACTCCGAAGCATCTCAAACTGACGTCAAGTGCAAACAGAAAGCAGTTTACTGAAAGCAAGACTCATCTGTCCATCCCTACAAGTCCAAAGCCTGACGACACCGGAGGTGAGGAGAGAAAATAGCGTGGCACTGCTGGCCCAAGTGTTGCCAACAGCCAACCCCCTTCCCTAGAAAACAAAATTGCCCCAACAGACATTAGTCCTTGCTGAAAAGAGAGCTCCTTTAAAAGATGCTTTACAACTCTTTTTATCCCTGAGTTTGACTTGTCTCTAAGCTTAGTTAACAAAAAAGATGCAAGTTGATGACTTTAGTAGTCGTCTAATAAGTGTTCATCCATCCTTCTAATGCCAGAACATATGCGTTTGTATGACTGGAAAGTAGGAGATTCCATTCTATTCATCTATTCTCACCATACTTACACGACTACATGTAACCCTCGGCATGCAAAACAGACAGAAAAAAACCCCACAAAACTATTGCCATTTTCATTTCCCCAGTCAAGTAGAGTTGAAGCAGCCATTTTGTAGCCTCAACTAATACCAAGAACATTACTCAAGCCCACAGAAAGCTCCCTGTAAAGTGAATGGGTTTCAGAAGCCATAATAAAAAAATCAATTTTCCAGATTGTAGTGTTATATCGAGAAATGGCCAAGTAATGAAACATCACCTTCAACTCCAACCTGAAATTCAATGACCGGGGTCTCAAGGGAAAGATAATTTAGTTGATTCTAAAGAAAGCTGATAAGTCATTAAAATAGCAGCAACCAGAAAAATATTTTTGAAACCAGCAGGGTGGCACCAATGGCAGCCATCGTACAAGTTGCCAAACTCGGCCTGCTTACGTCTTACGACTAGGCCCCTTCTGTAAAGGAATTCTATGCTACGCCACTAGTTTAGCATTAGTGTGAGGGAAACAGCAAGGTAATGCTACAGAGTGTTGCTAGAGCTAGGGTGTGCTAATGTTTTGTGTGTACCATTACACACTTTTATAATCTGCAGATAGACATATTTATAGATTTATATATATATATATATATATATCCATATATTTATTTACATACAAAAAAAGGGATTTTAGAACATTTATAAAAGCACAAAGTCATAAGAATCTCCCTAATACATCAGCTATACAAAACAAGAATAAATAGTTTTAGATTTAATGTGATTTATTTACAACTAGGTGTGCTTCTTAATAGCATAACTCAACTGTATTCCTAGAAAGGTAGAAAACTAGAGTGGAAGGGGTTTACTGGCTGGGAAACGTGACAGGGCCCAAAGAGTGTCAGCTCTGCAGGCTCAATGAAAGAAAATGGCCTCTCCCTGAATGGTTTAAAAAATATTTACAGAATACTTTGTGATGATGCTTTATTAACCCCTGTGCTAACGAGGCAAGTATTCCAGTAAGCCCTTATGTGCTAAAAAGTCCTGGTGGTCCAATTTGGATTTCATTGTGGTTACTGCAGGGTTGGTTTGGTGGGGACGCAGTTTAGTGATTTTCGGCAGCCGGAAAAGGGGAAAAGGATTCTGGGACATCTGCATTGCTGGTTAATCTCAAAAATATCTAATTTGTAGATTGTACAAGAGTTTAAACAAAATCTAAAAAGAAAATGCACATTGAAAAGCTTGGGAATGGAGGGGAGAGGATATTGTAAATTGAAGTTGGAGGGGCAAAACGAAAGCTATAAAAAGGAAGCCAGGAGCGAAGTCTATGTGACTAAAACATTGTGCTGTTAGTGGGATAGCTAATGCAGTGCTCCTGGTTATTGCTCCAGTGTCTTGTGGCGTGCTCGTGACTTAAGGCCTAACACCTCAGCAGTGGCTTGGACACCACAGCAAAGCCTAGCACCTTAGCAGTGGTTGGACACCACAGCAAAGCCTAGCACCTCTGCAGTGGTTGGACACCACAGCAAGGCCTAGCACCTCAGCATTGGCGTGGAAATCACAGCAAGGCCTAGCACCTCGGCAGTGGTTGGACACCACAGCAAGGCCTAGCATCTCAGCAGTGGCGTGGACACCACCGCAAGGCCTAGCATCTCAGCAGTGGCATGGACACCACAGCAAGGCCTAGCACCTCAGCAGGGGCGTGGACACCACAGCAAGGCCTAGCACCTCAGCAGTGGCGTGGACACCCCAGCAAGGCCTAGCACCTCAGCAGTGGCGTGGACACCACAGCAAGGCCTAGCACCTCAGCAGTGGCGTGGACACCACAGCAAGGCCTAGCACCTCAGCAGTGGCGTGGACACCACAGCAAGGCCTAGCACCTCAGCAGTAGCGTTAACACAACAGCAAGGCCTAGAACCTCAGCAGTGGCGTGGACACCACAGCAAGGCCTAGCACCTCAGCAGTAGCGTTAACACAACAGCAAGGCCTAGAACCTCAGCAGTGGCGTGGACACCACAGCAAGGCCTAGCACCTCAGCAGTGGCGTGAACACCACAGCAAGGCCTAGCACCTCAGCACTGGTTGCACACCACAGCAAGGCCTAGCACCTCAGCAGTGGTTGGAAGAAAACCTGTGGCAGTACTTAACACAAACTTCAGATTTGGTTTTGCTAAAGACTATTCAAAAGCTAAGGAGCTTCTAGCAATACATTTTTGTATGTTTTGCTCTGAAAGATGCAGCACAATCCTTGTTCATCTTTCTGTGAGGTAGAAAAATAATAAAAATGTCCCATCGCCAGGACGCAAACTAGATATCCTTCAATAATGCATCTGCTTGGGATTACTAAATGCTGAGCATTCCAAGTGATTTATGGTTCCTATCCAAAGCACTGCTTGGTAAGAGGATGAATATGTGACGTGTATACAACCACAAAACCGATACCAAACATTTCAAATCTTTTGTAAATGGACATTCATTAAAGGGGTTTTCACTTTAAATGAAGAGTGGAACCCCGATTCAGACTCACTCCTTGTAATAATATTGGGTGTGGAAGCATCTCATACCCCACAAACACTACGGTCATGCTCAGCTTGGTTCTATGTATATTGTTTTGGCTTATCACGATATCCATTCTCATATAATATATACTCTCGTATATACAAACACCAAATCAGACAGGAGAGGAGTCTTTATATTGAGTAGATAACCTGTTCAGCTTCAGGTAAGATGTAGGAGTGCAGCCAGATCCCCAAGTCTTAAAAGCACCCCATCATAAAGGAAGTACATGGGCTGCCACTACCTATCTCCTTCTAAAAAACATGACTGGCTGTTTTGCGGAGCCTCTGGTCTTGGCTACCTTCTCGGTAACTGGCCCTGAAAAGCCATGCAGATTTGAAGCTCTAACTTTACAGGCTGCATATGGATCTGAGTCAGTGACCCAAAGTACTAAAGCCAGAAGATCACCTTGACAGCCAGGCATTTAACATTTTAGGGCTTAGCAATGGCAGTCAATGAATTCCTGCAATGACAGGTTCCCTTTAAGCCTTTAATCATATGGTGGAAGGGTCTTATTTAGAGGTCCATCTTTCAATTAAAGGCTCAACTCCCTAGAATACACATAGGCATACTGTGGCAGTCTGCAGTCACCCACTGCTCACTAACCCCAATACATTTGTCTAGGTGGCTAGAGACAGCCACAGGATTCCTAGGCCCGGTCTAAAAATAACATGCCAGCCATTCTGTACATGCTGAATTAAATTAATGTTAATTATGTACTACTAGAAAACATGGAACACAATGCCCCATAGAAGAACAGTAAATAAGACTCAATTATGAAAAGTCAAGCACAGAAAGGAAAAAGAAAAAAAAAAAAGTGGCTTTAGCGATTTCCGAAAAAAAGTAGCCAGAAAGGTCTAGCTTTGCTTTTTAGACTGTGCTGGGTTCAGTGCAACATTTGGTGCACAACTTTACGAAAACAAAATATAGATATATTAGCAGCAATCTTACTGTTTTGAGCCAGAGTCACTCAACAGAGGTGGAAAGTCCTCTCTAGCTTCCTGGCAGCTTCTGATTGAATAGTATAGTAGCTGTAAACTGAAGCCTTGCCGTGTAGCAAGATGCTTTCAACCATAAATCCTTCATACCGCTCCCAGATGTGCCTTCCAGGTGATGAAAGAACGTCTTGGCGTTGCAGGGAGATAGCGAGACCTGTGTGCTGTCTAGTGGGTGGAGATGACACATTCATGGAAGTGAGCAGCACACACTCACCTCGGCGTTCACAGTCAACAATCTTTACCATTGCAGAAATGTTGCTCCCCATATACATAAACTACATAGATCATTTGAATTTTCGAGTGCTTCCACGTAGGTCTGGAATGTAGTCTCCTGGAGTTACAACTGGCTGATGGGATATCGTGTGATTTCAAAATGTAAACGGACACCCACGTGCCTCTCAGGAGCTCTGGGGGGGGGAAAAAAAGAAGCGAGGAACAGAGAGCTGGGAGTGGGGTATTTCACGTGCAAGATTATGGTGTGAATGCAGTCACTAGATAAGACGAGTCTCTCATGTGGGAGTACTGGGAAAGAGGGGGCGAGAACTGCTGGGACACTTGAACATCCCCCCACTTTGCCCTCACCTGTTGCTGTTGGTTTATAGGGTAACACTGTGTTTTGGCTTGTCTTGGAGTGCTATTCTTTTAACTCCAGAGCTGGAATACCCTTCATCGCTGCAAATGCTTTGCATGCTTCCCCGCTCGTCCAAGTCACTGGCACTGCTGCTGCTACTACTCCAGTCCAGTTCTGCTGTTAAATAGTCTGTGCTTTCTACATCCACATCCACATCAATCTCCTCTGTAAAGAAAACACACACATTGAGTAAGAGTCTAGTGAAAGACATTAGCCCTGATAAACTATTGGTGGCACAGAGTGAGAAATTGCAACAGGGTAATTGTGTGGGGGGAAAAAAGTTGCAAATTGTGACAAATTATCTTTGATGTTACAGTGACCATAGTTTATAAAGAGTCCTGTGCTGCCTACTGCTTGGTGGACTAATGCGCTTATGCTGCGTCCCCAAAATATATGCAATATTTTTAATTCTATGTTGCACAAATTGTGATACTGCTGTAAATGTCACAAACAGGAATCTTCCTCTTTTTGACTTGTATGCCGCATTCAATATTCATTGCAAATCATTGTTCCTTTGTCACACCAGTAAAAATGTTGCAATCTACTTTAATGCTGCATTGCTGATTGTTTACTGGCCTGTTGTGTGCCACTTGCATGCTGCAGGACGGGCATTTTAAGAACAGATTTCTGAACACCATTTCTGTACCTCTTTATCAGGAAAAAAACATGCAGGCCTAGCACTGTATGCAGTATGAAGTTGATTTCCATGCTGGCACTAGCCAGGTTCTGTCCCAAAGATACTCACTCAGTTCTATAAGTAGCTATAGTCCATTACCTGGCTAGGATTGTCCGTCTCAAGGCATCTGTTTACACAGCTAGGACTAAGGCTCCTGAGCGCTCAGCTTTCCCAGCAAAGTAACAGACTTACTCCAGTACAAAGAGCAAAGATGAAGTGCAACACGCAACTGCCCATAGCAGGCAATTAGATTTCATTTTATGGAGGCTGGGTCGCAGGAAAAAGAAATTACTTTCCTGGCCTTACTGGATAACAATGAAACCATGCAAACAATGTAAAAGCACCCCAATGTGTCCAAACTGACATTACTACGAAAGAATATGGACACCGGCACTCCAACAGCAGATAGAATACGTCTATTTATTGACGTACATGCAAAAAAAGCATAACACACTTAGTGCAACTTTTCTGAGTCACGTAGGATCCCCTTCATCAGGCAGAACAAGTGACTTGTTCGGCCTGATGAAGGGGATCCTACATGATCCCGAAACGTTGTACTAAGTGTGTTATGCTTTGTTTGCATGTACGTCAATAAATAGACGTATTCTATCTGCTGTTGGAGTGCCGGTGTCCATATTCTTTCATATTACTGAGACGGTGGCCATCTGTCGACTGCCGTTGCACCCATTTTATCCTAATGGATGAGCGGTCAGGAGTGCAATGGGTACATGGACTGTAACCAAACTGACATTACTGAGGCATGAACTGCATTGCTAAGGACCTGTTCACAATGCTTCAATTGATGTGCATAGATGAACACAGGCTCAACACCAGAGAACTCAGAAAATAACTGTTTTCTATGTGCCCTGTTCACACCCCAAATGACGGCCCTCCAGCTGTTGTGGAACTACAAGTACCATGAGGCATTGCAAGACTGACAGTTACAGGCATGACTCCCAGTGGCAGAGGCATTTGGAGATTTGTAGTTAAAGCACAACTGGACGGCCGGAGTTGCTCACCCTGCATTAAGAGGAATTGACGGGAAGGAGAACTAATTACTAAAATATCAATCTTTAACATGCTAATTTGCAGCCACCATTAAAATAAAACCTGGTAATCCTGTCATGAAGGTCCTTGTTGAAGCACTTCCTGTTATGTGGTGACAATGCTCCATCCCAGTCTTCCAATTGCACTCTTGTGTTGTCACCCTGTCAGTGTCTGCTTCCAGTGTAGACATCTTTATGCGGGCACCTTCTGCCGTGGTCACCACCGAAAAGTAAACACCCCCCCTTTCCTTTCTTCCTATTCTGTCTTTTGTATTATTAGTGAACAGGTTTCTTCATGACTATCTCTTCAGCTTACAAAATGCCTGACGCTACTGTATGCAAGTGACAGATAACGAGAAAATCAAGGAAAATCATTTCAGCTAGAGCCGCATTTAGTGCAAATCACCTTAGAAAAGAGTACAAATAGGATCCTAAATCTCTCAGTCAGGCTTCTGTGTAATAGATACTAACCTCGATCCGAATCGGATCTCTCAGAAGATACTGCGGATCCTATACTATCCGTTCGTATCCTCTCAACGCCAAACTTTTCTAGCTGCCTTTTTAGATGTCGCTGATCCCGCTGTAGCTGGTCTATTTGGTGTTGTGACTTTCGGTCACAATCTTCAAGTTTCTACAAAAGGTAGAAGGAGACAGAAAAGAAAATGTCACAAATGTCACTACGTAAAACCAGATATCCCAGAAACCACAGCGCCAGATATCTGAGCGATGTGAGAATTTATGACACACTCACCTTTATGTGCAACTTTGCTCTTGTTAAGAGACTTAATGTGGTATGCCTATTTGAATCAGGACCTAAGGGTACCAATACTTTCAGCTTTTCCAGACATAGCCGTAAATTAGCTCGCCTAGGTGAGAAAATACATCATATTAAAGCTTTACAGAGAAAATATTGGGAATGATCACATGCTTAGTCATGAAACATATTCAGAAGCATCCAGTTTTACAAAGGGAGAGCATCCTATGATGGCTGAATGAACTGAACTCTTTCTCCAGCCAAAACATTTGTAAGGACTGTACCTTAAGCTGGAGTGTCCCTAGTATAAATGTAGTGCATGAAGATAGGGCTGAGCTGCAGATTATCTGTGTTCGTTAGGTTTCTCCTAAGACCAGGGCAAGGATTGCTTCTACCTGCTTCTGTGAGTGTTCATCAGCAAATGCAATGAGATGTTACAATCTTTGGGGGTTATGAATACTTCTTCTGCCTTAGCCAATCAATGAGGGTTTTATTCCAGTGATGTAGGCTAGGGAAGGAGATAAATAAATATTCAGGGTGACCATCTAGAAGGGCCATTAGCTTCTAAGGCTTTCCCTGGAGACTATGAGTTTAGGGAGCTCCTGTCTTTGCCTCCCAGGTCTGCTCCCTGGGGAGGGTGTCCTTGTGAGGAGAGATCTGTGCCTCCTAGGCCTTTGGCCTGGGGGAGAAAGCTGGAGCAGAAGAAAACAGGAGGGTGGCCATAGGAGAAGCTGCTGCTGAAAGAACATTTCTCAGTTGTTTAAGGTATCCTACTTAGTCAAATTGCTGGTCTTGGCTTGAAGGTGCACAACTAGCTTCTGAGAAAGGGCTGAAGATACTTAAAAAGGTAGCTGTGTGTCTGTCCTACCTAACCCACATTAACATGTGGCAGAGGGTAAAAGAGAGCTATGGGCCAACCTTTTTTTGGCCATAGTTCTTTTTAGGGTCACAGGAGGACATTTACTATGTCCTCCTGTGACCCCAAACTCAGTATATAGCGGGGCTATTAGGACGGGATCCTCCCCGCCACCTGATTGACAGCTGGCTCTGCCCCTCTAGAGGCAGACCCAGCTGTGCCCGCCCCCTCCCATGTCCGTCCCTCCAGTCAGCACTGGAGGATCAGAGAGGGAAGGTGGGAATCCCTGCAGGGACTGGTGACTGACAGTCACAGCTCTCTGCAGGGAGAAGATTGGGAAATTAGTGATCAGCGGTATGCGATCATTCATTTCTCGATCTATAGAGCCAATGTGTGACAGCTTCAGTGTCACCCGTCATCTCTTATTATAGGGATGAGTGTATTTCACTCTCCCCATAATTCTCCTTTAAGGATACTACAAGATAATAGTGAGCAAAGAGAATTTTTGGTGCTGTTTTTGTACACCCAACCCTATATGCCTTAGATGTGCAAAAAGATTCTCGGAGTGGAAGTCTATATGGCGGTTGCCAGTGTTGGAACGGTGAGTGTCTGGGTGCAGCTAAAGGGAAATATCACCAGTAGAACAGCTGGGAGAGCCTGAAAAACACAGCTGCTCCTGAGGGGGGTCAGTGCTAGACATTTTTATATGGATAGAGTGGGAAAGGGTAAAAATGCCATTGGATATTATTGCAGTCTGTGTCCCAACTTGGATCATTTTCCTGTTCTGGTAACATCTTGTCACTGGATATAAGAGGAAAATTAAACCACTGCAGGAACAGCAATAAAAGCTGACACGGTTTTTAACTCAAACAAGAAAAAACAAAAACCTTTTGGCTGCCATTGGGCTTTAATACAATGTGATAGGTCTTATTTTAAACTATGGAAACTTTTACTAGTACAAATATGAATGGCAAATTGTGGTTTAGCGGCCATTTAAATAATCACAACACACAACAGCTCAATACATTTTTCCAGCTCTGCACTGTAAACAAATGATGACTAAGAGCCTGACTGTAATGCCATTTCAACATTAACATTGAAACGCGCTAAACAAAATTTAGTGTGGAAAGAAACTTATTTTTAGAGTTGTAAATGGGTCCCAATTTGAGCTTCACACACATACGTACAAGTGTTACAAAGTGATCTTCCACGCCTACTTGGTAATTACACCAATTATTAGGGTGGAGTAGTATTGGGGAAAGAAGAAAAACAAACACACATTCACACCGAGGGAAGGACATGGCTCGGCTCTAATGACTCAATGGCAGAGACTGGAGGTAGATGCAACCTACAGGGACGAGGGAGGACGCCACACGCAAATAAGGAGGAGGCCGCGACACGACTGTCAGCAGGTGCACTAAATAAGTCACTGTGCTGCTGCCAATTAATGAATACACCTGTAAAAAAAACTGGACGTACCTGTTTTTCTCCATTTCATTATGGGTTGATCTGAAAAACAAAAATAATCAATATATTAGTCACATCCTCTCCAACAATCATGAAGCTAATTGCAGGTAGCTTAATTTAGAACCCCACGAACCACAAAACAACCCCACCATCACTTTAGAAACATTAAAAAACAGTGTTTGCAGTCTGTCTATGACAGGTACACTTTACAGCCCCTTAAGCCTGAACTAGGAAAAAAGTTCAGCCCTTTGCTACCTATCCCTGCTGTGCTCCTGCATGAGCACAATCTTGATATTAAAAGACAAAAAGGCAAAGTTCTGTTTTTATACATCCATTATGAAAGAAGGAAGACCGACGCTGTTTAAGGTTGCAGAAAATCACAGGCAGCCAACCAGAAATAAAAAGTCTGGTCTCTTTTGGCCTTTGAGTTGAGAGGATTGGCCATTAGAGAATACACTGTATTGCCAAAAGTATTGGGACACCCCTCCAAATCATTGGATTCAGGTGTTCTGTGAAATTTCCTTGCTACTAAATATTCCGTGGTCACCTGTTAGTGGTATTATAACAAAGTGGAAGCAACTGGGAACAACTGCAACTCAGCCACGAAATGGAAGGCCACGTAAAATGCAGAGCGGGGTCAGCGCATGCTGAAGCGCACAGTGCGCAGAAGTCGCCAACTGTCTGCAGAATCAATAGCTACAGACCTCCAAACTTTGTGCGGCCTCCAGATTGGCACAACAACAGTGCATAGAGAGCTTCATGGAATGGGTTTCCATGGCCGAGCAGCTGCATCCAAGCCTTACATCAACAAGTGCAATACAAAGCGTGGGATGCCGTGGTGTAAAGCACGCCGCCACTGGACTCTAGAGAAGTGGAGACGTGTTCTCTGGAGTGACGAATCACGCTTCCCTGTCTGGCAATCCGATGGACTGGGTTTGGCGGTTGCCAGGAGAACGGTACTTGCCTGACTGCATTGTGCCAAGTGTAAAGTTTGGTGGAGGGGGGATTATGGTGTGGGGTTGTTTTTCAGGAGTTGGGCTTGGCTCCTTAGTTCCAGCGAAGGGAACTCTTAAGGCATCGGCATACCAAGACATTTTGGACAATTTCATGCTCCCAACTTTGTGGGAACAGTTTGGGGATGACCCCTTCCTGTTCCAACATGATTGTGCACCAGTGCACAAAGCAAGATCCATAAAGACATGGATGAGTAAGTTTGGGGTGGAGGAACTTGACTGTCCTGCACAGAGTCCTGACTTCAACCTTCAAAGATAGAACACCTTTGGGGTGAATTAGAGCGGAGACTGCAAACCCGGCCTTCGCGTCCAACATCAGTACCTGATAAGTACTATCCTTGTCGCACTCCTTACCGATATGTCCCTTGTAGCAGGGGGTGCTCACAGTGACTGCGGATGGCGCCGCAAATGTCAGCAGAATTGTAGAAATTTCTACAACATCAGTACCTGACCTCACAAATGCGCTTCTGGAAGAATGGTCAAACATCCCCATAGACACACTCCTAAACCTTATGGACAACCTTCCCTGAAGAGTTGAAGCTGTTATAGCTGCAAAGGGTGGGCCAACTCAATATTGAACCCTATGTACTAAGGCTGGGATGCCATTAAAGTTCATGTGCGTGTAAAGGCAGGCGTTCCAGTACTTTCGGCAATATAGTGTATGTAACAAGGATACTTTCATCTACTCATATAATCCATGGAGCACCGTGGCCACCACCAATAGGGCTAGAGAGAGCTTACTGTTGGTGACTACACATTCTATTCACATAAGATATTCTCTAATAAGTATGTCACGAGGTGCAGGCGCTGATTTGTGTCTTTTTACATGCATCTTTGAGGAAGTTCCCTTTCCATGTGCGGGACAGCAGCCTCCCTTAGTAACCTGTCTGGAAGAAGATTCCTTTATCCCTTGCTGGTCGTCACATGCGGTGGGATTTTGAACATTTGTTGATAGGATTGGAGTTGCGTTGTCAATCGAAATGTTGCTGAACAGACGACACGCGTGACACTCATATGTATCTAACCCCCTTTCCCTCCTCCCTTACCACCATGACTAATTGTGCGCTCAGTGAAAATTGTTAATGTGATTGTACACGGGCCACAGTAACTTGACAGTTGCCAACAATTGCTGCATTATGCTGTATATATACTGAACCTGCCTCCGGGTTTCTGCCTTCAGAGACCATTTTCATCCATAGCATGACAGGAATGTACTTACATACTTAGGGCTCAGGCACACAACTGCAATAAATGCAGAGTTTTTATCACTACTGCATTTTTGTTGAATGCAGTTCTATTGTTTTGCTGGGCCCAGCGTGTAAAGATCAGTGGACCTGCGCTGTACTCAGATTCAGAAAAAAAATGGCGTCTGAGTTTAGTAATTTACATGCGTATGCATTTAAATGCATGCACATGTGTACAAATGTATGTACAAGCATAAATGTATTGGATGTAGAATTTGCTGCGTCTAAGCTGTACGGCATCTATACACATATAAAATGTGAGCACTTAACAGACCAATATATGCGTTGAAAACATCTGCCAAAAAATCCTGCGTAGATGATCAGTATTTCTTTATTGCCCGTTACTGTACTGTCCTATCTACAATTTAAAATTAATTGTTTTCTGAAAAAGTTTTTTTTTTCTTCTACTTTTTCTATGTGGTCATGTGATCACAAACTACTAGTGCTCTGTACTGTGGTGGGACAGACAATGGTGCCGAATCCCAATCCCCGTAGCCATGATGTCATTTCCCCAGCATCCATAGATCCCAGGGATGTTGAGGCAGGAGAAGAGTTCCTGCCCACCAGACACAGAAGGAGAAAGGGATAGGCCGGAGCTTTGCGGTCATGTGATCGCATAGAAAAAGGAAAACAGACCGCATTCACAATGCGATTCATTACAAAATGTAGGCAAAGAAAATCTGGGCTTGTTCACACCATGTCTGGATCATGTCCAGACTAGAACAGTTTGTTCCCGGACCAAGAAAGCATCACAATGCTATGGTATTTCTGGGTTCTGTTCACATCAACGCAGTCCGTTCTGGACCGGATAAAAAAAATACTGCTTGTCTCATTTCCTCTGGTCTGGAATGCACTGGGATGCATAGAAACGCATCAAAAACGGATACAAACGCACTGGACCACACCTGAAAGCCCTGGTCTTATTATTATGTACTTCTGGTTTCAACCATCCACAATGCATTCCAGAGAACGCAAATGTTTTCTATCCGCTCACAATGATCTTTTGAAAAGTAATTACACAGCAGCAGGCTGGTTTGTCATTGTGATGTTCAGCAGTAGGTGTTTCTGAGCCAACGTGTCTGTGATGTTGAGTCAGGAAGGGAAAGAGCAATGCTCTGCGGAAGCCCCGGAGAGTCAGCTGCTCTGGGCTGTTGTGTAGGTGACAGAAGGGAAGGGACACGGTACTGTCAGCACCTGACAAACACCATTTTCAAAAACATTTTGCTCAAATTATAGAATTTCAAAAGTGCACCAAATCAGAAGGTCACCATGGATTGCAGTAGGCACAGCTAATGGATTATGAACATCCCGCCTCCATCTACACTCCTAGATGAGGGAAAAATTCTAAGAAATTAACAAGATCCAAGTGTCTGCCTAGAAATGAAATACAAGAGGCTAAGCCAATGTCAACCAGTGCACTTAATCAGAGCTTAAAAGGGAACCTGTGGGGAAAGAAATATGGGAACCGCCATTACTCACCTGATTCTTAAAGGGACCAGCCTTTGCGTTTGCTTCAAAACTTAAGGCCCCTTTCACATGGGCGGTCTGATCATGTCTGTCAATTTTTCAGGCGGACCCGATCAGATGCCCAATCATATTCTATGGGCAGCCAAGTCTACACAGAGGGGAGTCTGTTTACACCCGGTTACACCCGACTCCAGACAGGTCCGGAAAAACAAACAGGACAGTGGTCTGTGCTGGATGGGGGGGATCTGATGTAAAATGGGCACATGTCTGTTTACATCCAATTCCTCATAGACCAACATGGGTCCGGCAGTTTTACTTCTTCCCTCCATTGCAAGATGGAGGAAAATAACTGGATGGACACTGATGTCACAACACGGACATCTGATCCGTACTGCTTTGATCACAAGGCATCCATGCATGGATCCTTTCCTAACCAGTCCTTGTGAAAGAGGCCTAAAGTAGAACTGAAGCCCAATTTTTTTTTTTTGGACAGAGTAAGGCTGTGTTCACGCCATTTTCCGGACCAGATCTGGAACATAGTGGATTGCTGCCGCGTTTTTACCGCAATTGGATTTACATTTTTTTTTAAGCTTAAAATGGTCTTACAGGTGCGTTCCAGTGCTTTCCAGACCAGACAAAATAGGACAAGCAGTATTTTTCTGGTCTGGTCTGCAACAGACTGCACTGGTGGGAACGGAGGCCAGAAATGGCATAGGGATACATTAGGATGCATTTTGGGTCCGGAAACAGTCTGGTCTGGTCTGGAGGTAATCTGGATGTGGTGTAAATGGGCCCTTAGAGAAGATTATAACCCCCAATGGAGAGATTTCCCTTCCTGTTCTGTCTGATAGCCACAACAGGAAGTGGTGGGAAATCCCTTCAATGGGAGGGAAATCTTTGGTGGTCACACTCCATCCAAATCTGAAAATTTGCCTTCAGTTGCACTTTAAAATAGATATACATGGCATGATTTTCCCCAATCAAAGCCACCATCTGTGCTAACCGCGTGGATGGAGAAATCTCCTCCGTTGTCTGTTGTATTCAATTGAGGCAAAGAGCGTTAAACATGTCTGAGAAATCAAAAGTTTTCTATTATTTTCACAAGTGGCAACGAGGGAAGAAAAAAAAGGAAGCCAACGTGTTTCCGGGCCACAAATTCCGCTTTATCAATATTCATCATTCTACTGCTGATGCTCATTGACTGTTCTAAACATCTCAAGCAATAGATTGGATTGCCCAAAAGCTCTGTGTTTTGAGTCCACCAAAGACTTATGGTAATGTATCAAAGCCCTAATAAAGGGGGATTTGTTGTGCCTGA